TCATCAACTCGACGCTCGACTCTTCTGGTGTACCCATACCCGACTTTCCTCTTAGAACTGAGGCCATATTGAGTGGGTTAAACATAACCCCAACCTTGGACTAGGCGTTATCTCCAATTTAGATCTCAACAAGGCGTGGTGGAGATGGGATACCAGCCATTGTCTTAAAAAGAAATGCGCGCCTGAAGTGGCGCCCGCCCTTCTCGAAACTATACAACTATGCCTCAAGGAATCTTGTTTTCCTGACTGCTGGAAGTCCTCTTCGATTGTTCCTGTCTTCAAGAACTCCGGCGACCCCTCTGACCCTTCCAACTACCGTCCTATCAGTCTCCTTCCCTCTTCGGCAAAAGCTCTAATCAATACCAGGGTGGTTAACCACCTCACATCCAATAATCTGCTCTCAGACAAGCAATATGGTTTTCGCTTTGCCAGATCTACAGCCGATGTGCTCACAGCCATCACGGAAACAGTCTACCGAACTCTCCAAAATAACGGGGAAGCCCGAGCCGTGGGATATCTCAAAGCATTTGATAGGGTTTGGCATCCCTTCTCCACCAAGATCCGGGGTTATGGCATTACGGGTCAATTATATAACGTTACAATCATTCCTGTCAAACCGTGAATTGAAGGTCGTTCACAACGGATTCTCCTCCAGTTCCCTACCCCACGAACGCAGTTCCTCAAGGCTCCATCCTAGGCCCCCTATTCCTTATCTATATAAAATGACCTTCCTGACGCCGTAACTCTCAAGTCGGCATCTACGCGGATAACACCACAATTTATTCCTGCCTCAAAACAAATCCAGTCTCGCTGACAAAACTCACCTTGCCGTGCGCCTCGAAAAGGACCTCAATCGATTGTGAACTGGGGGCAAGATTTGGCTGGTACTTCTTTAAACTGCTCTCTATTAATCACCACAGAGAGCCTTCCCTTCCCTCCATTATAATGTCTGACGCTCAACTTCCAGACAACTCTCTGCGGTTCACCGTTGACTGCTGACCTGAGATGGAATAAATACATCGAGTCAATTGCCTCGTCCACTGCGAGGAAAGTTGGCTCCCTGAGTTTTCTAGGAGTTTTCTCCCTGAGTCGATCCTCCAGATATACAAATCCACAATTCGCTTCCTTGCATGGAGTATTGCTGCCATATATGGTCTGGCCCCTTCTGTTTTGCCAGGCTCCAGAGGCGGATATATAATATGGTTGGCCCTACCCTGGCGTCTCGTCTACAGTCACTTTCTCACAGACACCGTCGCCTCCCTCTGTCTGTTCTACAAATACTTTCATGGAAATTGCTCCGAGGAACTGCATTCGCTGGTTCCCAAACTTCATGAGTTCAAGCGCCCTATGGCATCCCGCTCTACCCCTTCACTGTCGAAACTCATATAGCCGTCTCTACTACTCTAATATACCTCTCGCCTGTGGAACTCTCTTCCCTTCTCCTGTTTCCTGAGGTTATAATCTCCAGCTATTCAAGTGTAATGTCAATCGACATCTCAGTTGCCTTAATCTATCTACTACCCTCATCCTTTCTTCTATCACTCCTATCTGATCTTCCCTATTTTCTGTAACCCCTTGCGTCCTAGTGGCTCTCCGCCTTGCTTGGGGTGAAATGTAAAAAAAAAAAAAAAAAAAAAAATGTTCCTGAAACCGCCATCAGAAAACTTGTGATTTGATAGTGCTGATGGTTTTGTGTAGAACTAACCATATTCTTTGAAGATCTGAATACAGACACCTGGTTCACCGTGTGCTACAAGGTCCCCAAACGACCCTCCGCAGGTTTTGAATTCAGACTTGTCTTTCTCCTAAACTAGTTGCCATCCAAGGTTATAGAACACAGTCTGTCCTGCTATTTAGCCATATATATATATATATATATATATATATATATATATATATATATATATATATATGTGTGTGTGTGTGTGTGTGTGTGTGTGTATTTAAATTTCAGTGAACATATATTAAAGGCTCTGCCATGTATAGCATTGAGCTCTCTTTCTCAGTATGTCTCTTTCTCTCTCTCCTTCTCTCTCTCTCTCTCTCTCTCTCTCTCTATATATATATATATATATATATATATATATATATATATATATATATATATAATTGTATATGTACAAACGCATACACTCACATAAATATACATAAAAGCCATATATTAAAATATGGACAACTACTTACTGAAACATTTTAGACAACAAATGCTCTTAGACATTAATAAATGATGGAGAACATTTAAATTTTGAGGAAATTTTCCGATCCCCACCCCCTGCTTATTAAGTCGCCCCATCCATTAATGTACAATATTTTAGCCTTTAAATGATTTTCTGACTTGGGCTCTTAAAATCCCTCGTTTATTTTAAAAACATTATAATCGACATTCATATTTGAATATTATCTAAAGAGAATGTCGCCAGCCTGAAAACACTTTGGACATTATGATCAGATTTAGGAAGTACTGATAGCGTAATTTATCGAAGTAGAATCGGTGTGCCGAGTTCAAACTCTGGATGAATCTATTTTATTCTCTTTGAAATAAAGCTCTTGGCAAAGGCATGAATCTATCTTTCCTCAGTTATGGATTAATTAGTAAAAAAAGTTGCGAATTCAAACCTCCTCTGCCTTATCGGCTGGGATAGGCTCGTTAGCTTTGACTAGCAATCAGCCTAAAAAAAGATAGAAACTTAAATCACAAATCAAGGTAAACGAAACTCTTGCCCTAAACGGTGGGCCCATCATTTAGGGAAGTATAATTCTACTGGACGGTATCGTTTACGTGCTGGTTTTAACTAAAATGCCCAAAATGACAAAAGTTTTTTCTTGCTTTGTTGGAGCCTGGTCATTTTTTTAACTTCCACATCCCGAATTCCTCATACAGTATCAGCAGCTTTCATCTCCGAATTAAAAGAATGCCTCAGAATTGCCAGAAACTCAATAAATGTATTCACCATTAGAACATCTGAAACAAAAGGCACTAGTGAAGATTACGAATAATTTTAGATTACTACTACTACTACTACTACTACTAATAATAATAATAATAATAATAATAATAATAATAATAATATCGTCACTTTAAAGGTACTGAAAACTTCTTGGTCGAATAATGATTGAAAAAGATGTCATTTGGTCAGGTTTTAGCAAGTGTGCCGGGCCAAGAATTTTCAACACGTCCTCATAGATATATACACGAATAAAATTTTGGAGTTTTCTTTTATGTCACATGTCCCTTCAAGATCTTAGCAATCATGACTCTCCCCAATATCCTGTCTTATATAATTTTGACCGTTTACCACTGCTTTCAATATGTCCTATGAGTGTTATATTCCCCACGCCCTCTTTTTACACTGTGTGCTAGAAATTTCAGCTGTCTTTATTTTTTTTTATTGTAGCAATATTTTTTTTTCTTTTTTAGTTCCTATTTTCCTTAAAATTTATTTTCTACTCGCATGTTGGTCTATACTTTTCTCAGCATTCATTAGTAGAACCACATCTCTGTCGCTTCAAGTCAATTTTTCATCTGTGATGCACGCATCCACTGCCATATAGGAGATGAAATATTATATAGCAGTTCAGCACCATTTTCTTTGTATTTACACTATTTACATTTGTTGAATTGTTGTCCTCATCTTTATTGTCAGATCCACAACGCTTCCGCTTCACAATGCACCGGCCTTCTTTAGGTGACATTTGTTGGAATTTTGAATCGAACCCTTAATCCATGGGTGTAGATTGTTCTAATTCCACGTGCCATACCTTTGGATATATCAGTTTTCCAAGTTTTGTTTTGTTCATTCTGTTGTGGCCAGTTCTTGAACGCAAAGCTCTTTGGTAAGTAACTTTTAGGAACGCTTTTATTCACCGGGTCTTTGAGGACGTCAGTGAGTGATTTTTAGGGTGGGGACTTATAAACCTAATGTCTTAGTAACATCCTATTGATAAGTTTAATTAAGGAGCCTGATCAAGCTGATTGTCCGGCAGAGCTAGTATTATTTGCACCTGGCATCGATCTGAAGTGTAGATCGATTGAGATCCTTCGCTATTTCACCGCTTCTGTATATTTCATTTATTATATCGGTAATTTTATTGATCCCGAAAGTCTTTAAGATTGTCGACGTCTCTATTACAATCTCATCGGATCCTGCTATTTTGATTCTGTTTATCTCGGTCAATACCGATCTTAGAAGATGCAATACTTAAAAAAATGACGTGATGCGTGAAAACACGATATTTAAAAAACTATGAACTGGCATAGTACAAAAAACAAAAAAAATCTTTTATAATGAGTTATTAAAACCAAAAGCACCTCAGACACTGGACACTTTATATTGCACTGAAACTGGGTAAAACTGGTAAAATATAGAATAAATAAATAAATCCTTAACAAAGAACTCTCGTTGCTCTTTAACTGAACTTGCAGAAAATTAAATTTTCTAAAGACTTGAGGATTACATTCAAGGATAAAACAGACTGTCGCCACTCAATGTTGGATTCAGTATCCATGCTTCTATTTACACACACTATATATTTCATATTTTTTTATATTATATTTTATATATATATATATATATATATATATATATATATATATATATATATATATATATTAAACAACAATTTTTCATTAATGCATGTTTCATTAAATAATATATACAAGTTTTGTCTATTTATTTTAAGTAAGTTCCTTTCATATTGTTTGATAAGCTTAATAACATTATCATTGAAAGACGAAAGGAAATCACCATATCACTCTCGCATGGTCATGTATGATACATGTTTAAATCCAATCTAAGCTTTCGGCTTACATAACCCATTATCAAAGATGACAATTACTTTTCAATATATCAACCAATACACGGACGAAAAAATAATGATAGTCTGTTTTTGTTGCATGAAAAATTTCAAAGCAACGACTAACTCGTGTATACGAGACGCGGAAGCGAAAATCACACACGCAACATGTACACACACACACACACATATATATATATATATACACATATATATATATATATATATATATATATATAGAGATTGATAGATAGATAGATAGATAGATAGATAGATAGATAGATAGATAGATAGATAGATAGATAGATAGATAGATAGATATGGAGGGAAGTGTGTATTTCTGTGTAAGTATGCGTTCTTTAGGAACTGTTGCTTGCTGCTGATACCACTTAGTGTAGTACAACCTGTTAAAAGTTAATTGGAAAGATGTTTCCCGTCAAATACCCCCCCATTACCTAGAGAAATCTCTTGACTGGAGAATTACTCGACATTGCACCCTAGGATTTTATGGGTCATGTGAAAGATCTACAGTCCTGGCGATGTGATTTTATATTTATAATAACCTCTTGTGCCGTAGTGGTCTTCCTTGGGGTGAATTTGATTAATAAATAAATAAATTTAAAGGAAACACGTGACAAGCAATTTATCTCCCAGGTGAGTAAGGCTTGCGTAGAAAATCATCATTTCTAACCCTTGCTTATAACTGCACTTGAACTGAGACGCTTCGAGACTGATGATGACTATATAAGTATCTGTGCTTCGGGGCAGGTTTAAATAGTTATTTATACTAAGTTTAGTTAAGTATAGTAAAATTCTGCTGCGTGAATCATCCATAGGGGACTACCTGCCTAGAAAATTAACATTGGAAATTCTGGCTCTTACCCACCACTGACACTAGTGAGAAATTCGTAAGGATTTCAACCATGAAGCAAACTACAGCATGAGTTCTTTATTAAGACTTGGCAAATAGACTTCTGTTGTCAGAAACTGTCTAGAATAAAGAGCAAATTGGTAGTTGCCAATCTTTAGCAGTCAACGTACGTAAAAATGTCTTGCAAATTGTTTTCCTGTGACAAGTGTGCGTGTACTGAATATTTGTGCAAAAAATAAACAAAAAAAACTAGTGATGTACTAGTGTCGTATTCAAAAAGCATACTTACCAGCTACCCTTCTTCTAAAGATAGCTTCGTTTGGCACAAGACTACAAGTATGAGACAGGCACTGAGGACTGAACTCTGTAGTCATGGACGGCAACCATTATACCAAATCGATGTAATAAATTTGTGTAACAACCTGTTGGTTGAAAATGAATTGAGCAAGTACTTGAAATAGAACGAGGCGGAAGAGAAGGATGAGTTTTTTTCCACCGGATTTATCTAACCTTTACAGCGATGTACCCGAAGAGATCTAGAAGTCCCACCAGGATTTATTATTGGTAGTTGAAGTCTTAATAACATGAGATACATAGATAACACTGTGTTGATGGCAAACGTAAAGAAAACTGCACGAACTGCTGACAAGTCAGCAAAGGAAAGCGGGAAGAAAGGACTAACCATCAATTATAAGAAGACAGAATGTCTGGATGTCAGCAAGAAGAATAGACCAAGTAAAAAGGAAAGCGGGAAGAAAGGACTAACCATCAATTATAAGAAGACAGAATGCATGGCCGCCAACAAGCGGGCAAGCTTAAGATAAAAGTTCGAAACATTAAAATCAAGCAAGCACAGAAAATTAACTACCTGGAAAGTGTTTTAAGAAAGCCTGGATAATATAACAGAAATCCGAAGGTGCATTGAAATAGCTAAAGATAATTTCCAATAGTTATACATAATTTAGATATCTGTGAAGCGTATTAACAGAGAACGGAAAGTGCAACAAGGAAATCAAACGCGCATTGGGATAGCGAAAATGCCTTTGAAAATCTAAGTAAAAGTATTAGAAATCATAAGAATATCGTTAGAAACAAAGAAAAGAGGATTGAACTGCTGCGTAGAATCAGTCTTCCTATATTTCAATGAATGCTGGCCAATCTCCTCACAGATGAAGAAGAGACTTGAAGGAACAGAAACGTGGTACTACAGAAGGATGCTGAGAATAGCATGGACCAAAGATGTGAACAACTACGAAATTTTAGATATAATGGCAAAAGGACACTTATATTTAACATCAGGAAAATAGGATGGAATTTCTGGAGCACATAATGAGGAAAGATGGCTTGGAAAATTAATGCTCACAGGACAGATTAAAGGTAAGAGAGACTAAACTAACCTGGTGAATGAATGGCGGAACAAGGTTTAGGAGACATTGCAAAAAGAAAAAGGTATTAAGAGCTACAAAGAACAGGAAAAAGTGGAAGCCATGATCGCCAATGTCCTGAAGGGATAGGGGCACATAGAAGAAGAAGAAACAAAACAAAAGAAACAAAGGAAAGGATTATTTACACTGTTTATATTCGGACTATTGTCTTCATCTTTGTTGTTTTTTTATCACAACGTTTCGGTCGTTGTGTCCCCTTCTTCTTCAGGGGTATATCGATCCGGGTAAACTACAGGGAATTTCAGACTGACCCCTTTGTTTTAATCTACGGGGTAAACTGTTTCTTGTTCCACTGCTCGTGTCTAGGGGATATCATCTAGTTCTGATTATATGTGCTCTGTCTGTAAAGCAACGGGACTGTATGTGCTGTGTGACGTTATGGACGAAAGAGGGATAAGCAGATTGTGTTATCATCTAACCTGATATCTTGGGAGTATCTAACTGTATTCTTAGCTTTCTGCAACCATTGCATTTTTCACGTGCTTGTAGGTGTTTCACCACGACAATGGACTTGCTCACAATGCCCTGAGCATCCAGCGGTTCCTGACCAAGACGAACCTCGCTGTACCGAAACAACCTCCCTATTCACCTGATCTTGCTCCGTGTGACGTCTTTATTTCCCACATGCTTAAAGGGATCATTTAGGTGACGGTGTTTTGAGGGCGTGGAAACCATCAAGAGGGTTGTAAGGTTGGTGCTGAGAGGCAGTACAACCTGTTAAAAGTTAATTGGAAAGATGTTTCCCGTCAATACCCCCCATTACCTAGAGAAATCTCTTGACTGGAGAATTACTCGACATTGCACCCTAGGATTTTATGGGTCATGGGAAAGATCTACAGTCCTGGCGATGTGATTTTATATTTATAATAACCTCTTGTGCCGTAGTGGTCTTCCTTGGGGTGAATTTGATTAATAAATAAATAAAGTTAAAGGAAACACGTGACAAGCAATTTATTACGAAACATCTCCCAGGTGAGTAGGGCTTGCGTAGAAAATCATCATTTCTAACCCTTGCTTATAACTGCACTTGAACTGAGACGCTTCGAGACTGATGATGACTATATAAGTATCTGTGCTTCGGGACAGGTTTAAATAGTTATTTATACTAAGTTTAGTTAAGTATAGTAAAATTCTGCTGCGTGAATCATCCATAGGGGACTACCTGCCTAGAAAATTAACATTGGAAATTCTGGCTCTTACCCACCACTGGCACTAATGAGAAATTCGTAAGGATTTCAACCATGAAAGCAAACTACAGCATGAGTTCTTTATTAAGACTTGGCAAATAGACTTCTGTTGTCAGAAACTGTCTAGAATAAAAGAGCAAATTGGTAGTTGCCAATCTTTAACAGTCAACGTACGTAAAATGTCTTGCAAATTGTTTTCCTGTGACAAGTGTGCGTGTACTGAATATTTGTGCAAAAAAAAAAAAAAAAAAACTAGTGATGTACTAGTGTCGTATTCAAAAAGCATACTTACCAGCTACCCTTCTTCTAAAGATAGCTTCGTTTGGCACAAGACTACAAGTATGAGACAGGCACTGAGGACTGAACTCTGTAGTCATGGACGGCAACCATTATACCAAATCGATGTAATAAATTTGTGTAACAACCTGTTGGTTGAAAATGAATTGAGCAAGTACTTGAAATAGAACGAGGCGGAAGAGAAGGATGAGTTTTTTCACCGGATTTATCTAACCTTTACAGCGATGTACCCGAAGAGATCTAGAAGTCCCACCAGGATTTATTATTGGTAGTTGAAGTCTTAATAACATGAGATACATAGATAACACTGTGTTGATGGCAAACGTAAAGAAAACTGCACGAACTGCTGACAAGTCAGCAAAGGAAAGCGGGAAGAAAGGACTAACCATCAATTATAAGAAGACAGAATGTCTGGATGTCAGCAAGAAGAATAGACCAAGTAAAGGAAAGCGGGAAGAAAGGACTAACCATCAATTATAAGAAGACAGAATGCATGGCCGCCAACAAGCGGGCAAGCTTAAGATGCAAGTTCGAAACATTAAAATCAAGCAAGCACAGAAAATTAACTACCTGGAAAGTGTTTTAAGAAAGCCTGGATAATATAACAGAAATCCGAAGGTGCATTGAAATAGCTAAAGATAATTTCCAATAGTTATACATAATTTAGATATCTGTGAAGCGTATTAACAGAGAACGGAAAGTGCAACAAGGAAATCCAAACGCGCATTGGGATAGCGAAAAATGCCTTTGAAAATCTAAGTAAAGTATTAGAAATCATAAGAATATCGTTAGAAACAAAGAAAAGAGGATTGAACTGCTGCGTAGAATCAGTCTTCCTATATTTCAATGAATGCTGGCCAATCTCCTCACAGATGAAGAAGAGACTTGAAGGAACAGAAACGTGGTACTACAGAAGGATGCTGAGAATAGCATGGACCAAAGATGTGAACAACTACGAAATTTTAGATATAATGGCAAAAAGGACACTTATATTTAACATCAGGAAAATAGGATGGAATTTCTGGAGCACATAATGAGGAAAGATGGCTTGGAAAATTAATGCTCACAGGACAGATTAAAGGTAAGAGAGACTAAACTAACCTGAGTGAATGAATGGCGGGACAAGGTTTAGGAGACATTGCAAAAAGACAAAAGGTATTAAGAGCTACAAAGAACAGGAAAAAGTGGAGAGCCATGATCGCCAATGTCCTGAAGGGATAGGGCACATAGAAGAAGAAGAAACAAAACAAAGAAACAAAGGAAAGGATTATTTACACTGTTTATATTCGGACTATTGTCTTCATCTTTGTTGTTTTTTATCACAACGTTTCGGTCGTTGTGTCCCCCTTCTTCTTCAGGAGTATATCGATCCGGGTAAACTACAGGGAATTTCGAACTGACCCCTTTGTTTAATCTACGGGGGTAAACTGTTCTTGTTCCACTGCTCGTGTCTAGGGATATCATCTAGTTCTGATTATATGTGCTCTGTCTGTAAAGCAACGGGACTGTATGTGCTGTGTGACGTTATGGACGAAAGAGGGATAAGCAGATTGTGTTATCATCTAACCTGATATCTTGGGAGTATCTAACTGTATTCTTAGCTTTCTGCAACCATTGCATTTTTTCACGTGCTTGTAGGTGTTTCACCACGACAATGGACTTGCTCACAATGCCCTGAGCATCCAGCGGTTCCTGACCAAGACGAACCTCGCTGTACCGAAACAACCTCCCTATTCACCTGATCTTGCTCCGTGTGACGTCTTTATTTCCCACATGCTTAAAGGGATCATTTAGGTGACGGTGTTTTGAGGGCGTGGAAACCATCAAGAGGGTTGTAAGGTTGGTGCTGAGAGGCATCCAAGAAGAATCCTTCAAGCAGTGCATAGAAGTCTGACAGAGAATGATGGAAAAGTGCATTAGACTCGAGTGGGTTCCTTTGAAGTGGAACCCATGTAGTTAGGAATTGAAAGAAATTGTTTCTGACAACAGTCCCGTTACTTTTCAGACAAACCTCGTACTATATCTGTAGGTTACTTAGATCAATATACACCCGAGGAAGGCCGGAGAATACAACGGCCAAGACGTTGTGATAAAAACAAAAATTGAGGGCAATAGTCAGAACATA